TTGTCTCTGAAGCTCATTGACCAGGCAGTCTAGCCTGTTTGCAAGTTCCAGGCCAGTGAGAGACCGCATTGCTGTGAAAACATGAACAATGCACCAGAGTTACCACATGCATTTGTGCATATAGTCGAACATGAAAACACACACAAACACACGCATGCACGCACGCATTCGCGCACACACACACCACCACCACCACCAAAAGACGACTGGGGAAATGTCACCCCCTTTTCAAAACAATTGTATGTACCCTGCTATGTTTTTCTTGTGGGTAGAACTTACAGGAATTCTGAATAGAATTCTGAACAGCCAGTGATGAGACAGGATAGCCAAGACAGCAAGGGCTTCCCCAGCATCCCTGTATTTCTTCTGTGTACTGCTTTCAGTCTAGCAGATGGTAAGTGAATGGTACTAAGTATAAATGAAGTAGGGCATTGTGGAATACAACCACAAATCCAGTGCTTGGGAAGCTAAGGTAACAAGACTGCAACCTGGAGGCCAGCCTGTACTACACGAAATTTAGTCTATACAGTGGGTTCAAGGCCAGCATGACCTTTATAACCAGACCCAATCTCAAAACAAAACAAACTACCAATCCACTAGGGCTGGAGAAATCGACCTGAAGTTAAGAATGCCTGAAACCCTTGCAGAGAACCCACATTTGTTTCCAAGTACCCATGTCAAGAAGCTCCCAACCTTCAGTAACTCAAGCTCCAGAGGGTTTCAATAGCTATTGCCCTTGTGAGTACCTGTAATTAATGTCTGAGCACGTGTGTGTGTGTGTGTGTGTGTGTGTATTTAACATAAAAACAAGGTTGTTTTTTTTTTAATCAACCAAGCTAATGGATAAATAGTTGAAATCAAAGCTTCTAGAATGTTCAGGTACTCTGTGCCTAGAAGCCAAATAGGGACATGCATTTGAGTGATGGTGTGGTTCAAGCTAACTTTGAATTAACTACTGTAGCACTGACTATCTTCTGATTCATGATCCTCCTGCCTCAACTTCCCAGAAGCTGGGATTAAAGTTCTGCAGTACCATAGCCTAGCTTTTGGATTTGTAATTATTGAGAAGCAGGGGAGGATTTCTGAGGAGGTGTCAGAAACACCTAGTTGGAAGGAACAGATATTCAGTGGCATTCATGCATTTGACTGGTCTGACAGCATCTAGAATCACCTAGGAGACAAACCTTGGCGTGTGTCTATGAGGGAGTTTCTAGATTGGTTTAAGTAATACACAAAGGCTCATCCTAAATGTGGCTGTCTCTGTTCCTTAGGCTGGCTCCCATATTGAAAAGAAGGAGACAGTGAGCTGAACACCAGCATTTATCTCTCCCTGCTTTCTGACTGTGGATACAATGTGACCATCTGCCTCATAGTCCTGCTGCCTTGCCTTCCCTGCTGTGATGGACTGTGACCATTCAAACTGTGAGCTAAGCTAAACCTTTCTCTCCTTACTGTGTTTTAACAGACATTTCATCTCAGCAATGAACAAAGTAACTAATTCAAACGGTACATCTTATCCCTGGACTCTCCTTTTTTTCTCTTTGCTCCTGGGCCATCGTAATGAAGGCAGCTACGTCTATCACATGCTTTCTGCTTCCATGATTATCTACTGCCCCATAGGTCTCAAAGCTACGAGACTGACCATGTACTGAATCCTCTGACTCAGACCAAAAGCAAATCTTATCTCCTCTTGTTGACTCTTATCACCAGTAAAAGAAGGTTGTCTAACACAAAGGATAAGCATTAGAACTGGGAGGAGTTTCGAGGAGGTTGGAGAGCTGTAGGCATAGAGGGAAGAGAAGGGATATCTCAGTAACGGCAAACACGATGTGGGACACAGCAGTTCTCAAGGAGGAGGACAGAAAACAAACGAACAAATGAACGAACAAAAGACAGAGCATCTGATTGCTCACACGGTCTGACTCCAGGGCCAGGTTAATGAGTTTGTGTAGACATTGGTAACTCTTCCCCATTGAATGGCTGTGAATGAATCATCTCCCGTTCTATAGAAATTACATAAAAACAAGTCATTGGCTCCAATCCTCCTATTGCTAATGATCCCCAAGTGTGGGAACTCCTTGTTCCTCTGTCTCACCCCCATGACATAGAAAATATATGAAGTTTAGACATAAAGAGAGCACTTTATTTGAGATTACATTAGACCTTCAAAAGCAAGCGTGAACATAAATTCAGGGATGAATAAGCAGAGCACAGGAAGCCTGCCTCTCTGCTTGACTTCAATAACTTATCTCAGCGAATCCCCAGCAGAAAGCATCTTACATACTTCAGTTCTTGAGAAGATGAGACGTGAATGCTGGGGGATTAGAAGACAGAAGGGCTTTATTGCAACAGTGAACAAGCTGAAAATTACTAGGTAATGGAATCTCAGTGGGAGGCCTTCCTACCCTGCCATTAGCTAACTCTCACAATGATTGCTTCAGGATCAGCTCGGGTTATATAAACTCTGCAACAAGGCTTTCACATTTGGCACCCTCATCTGAGCTCAGCCCAGAGACCACCACACATGAAGGCAGAACTTATAGCTGCCTTCCAGAATCTTCCACCTCATGGGACACACTCCACAATTACCTGCTTTGAGGATGCTTTATTCTACTAGAGATGGTTTCGTTTGGGACTCTCCAAGTGGACTGTAGCTAAGGAGAAGTAGGGGAGTGATACCCATCTCTCCACAGGCTGGTATGACTTTGTGAGGTCACTGTACTGAATGGGAAGCCCGTGCAGGGACCCTGGACAAGAACATAGTGATACTGCACCGTGAAGGCTCGAGGCTTTTAGGAATGGTGGCAAAACGTCTTAGCCTCATAGCAGGTCTTACAACACCAGGGCCTCCACTAAGGTATGATGACACCAGATACAAACTGTATATCAGGCCAGGAGTGATGCATGTACCATTTTTCTGAACTTTCCAATAACTGCATCTGGCAGCTAGGTATTGTTCTAATATACAGTTCATGGTTAGGTGGTATAGACTCTTGGGTAATGTGGTTTAACAAAACACTATATTCCAAACTTTGGCTCTATGATTCTTTGAGTTTGAGGTAGGTGTGTGTGTGTGTGTGTGTGTGTGTGTGTTTAGTGACACTATTCATGGGGAGATATGAACACATGTCAACTTACCCCAGATAGGGAACTAAGAAGAGATCAAAGTAAATATTTCACCCAATTCCAATTGGGTGAACTAGTGAGTTATTGTGATAACTTACAGGAATAGGGCTGAGGGGTTACTTTCAGGGGTAGAAATGCCTCAAAGGCAGCAGAACCATTAAAAACCCACCCCAGAATAGCTAGAAACTGACAAAAACTTTGAACATGGAGCTCAAGCCAACTGCTTGCAGGAAGTTCAACAGTTCATAGTGACTTCTAAGTAACTAAGATAGTCTGAGCCTCTTCCAGATTGTTCTAGTGGATGGTGTCTTCTAGAAAACTCAGCTAGTCTGTCTGCCTTCCAGGTAGCTTGGCTTCTCTCAGCCTCTTCTCCATAGCATGGCTTGTCAGAGTGTGTCTCTCAGCAGTCCTTATTGCTTATATAAGCTTAGGAAGAAAGGGCTGTGTGAATCTGGTCAGTTTCAGGGACTTCCTGAATTGAGTTGTTTACTTCATGAGTTTAATGAGATTCCCTGGAGGATAGAATGTTTAACCTTCCTTTAGAACATCCTATATCTTAAAGGGACTTCCCTTCTTTCCTTCCCCAACATCTGAGATGTTTGATCTCAGAGGAAATGCTACATCACAATACAGTATATAAATTGTGTGTGTGCGTGTGCTGTGTGTGTTGTGTACATGCATATGCATATGTGTGTATATAACAGGAATTGGCTCACATGATCATGAAGGCTGAAAATTTCTACAATCCTCTTCCATCTGCAAACAAAACTAGGAATGCCAGTGGTGCAACTCAGTTCAAGTTCAAAGGCTGAAGAAGCAAAAACACAGAGTCAATGACTGTCCTGGATCTAACAAGATTCATTCTTCTTAACTATTTGCTTTATTTCAGGATTCCACTGTGCTGGTTAATGCTCACCTACACTGATGAGGGTGAATCTTCTTTTTTTGTTCAAAAGTTTGTTTGTTTTTAAAACATGTGTTCATGTAGACACATACACATGAGTGAAATGACTATAGAGGCCTCAAGAGAGTGTCAGTGTCACTGGAACTAGAGGGTGCTATGAACTGAGACCATGTCCCCCCGCAAGAGCAGTGAGCACTACAAAGCCCTGAGCCACCTTCCCATTGTAGCACAAAATGGGTCTTCTTTACTTAGTGAAGAGCTCTCTCACTTTGAAACACTCTCTCAGAAATACTCAGGCTTATTGTTTGACTGTTGAATGTTCCTGAAGGCTCATGTTTTGAATGCTTGGTGATGCCCAGCTCCAGTGCTAGTTTGGGATGCCATCACATCTTTAGAAGTGGGTCACTGGAGATATTATCTTGGGGATATATGATCTATTTTCTTCGTGTCTACCAAAAAATGGAAACAAGCCCCCTGCCCCCAATGTTCCTGTCACACATCCAGAACAGCTCAACCATTTCTTCCTTAGCACCATATACAAAGTGATCAAGAAACAATACTGTAACATCCTATGAAAGCTCACATATCAGCCATTTGAAGGCAGGACCTCACTGAATACCCCAACAACCAGGATACCACAGTCTCCTGTCTGTTCCCTGATCCTGTGCAAGTAACTTCAAGTGAGATGGGCCTCCAGTTGAGTGTCTCTGTCTCAGGGACCAGAGCAAAGCAGAGAGTGTGGGAATCAGACCCAACAATTAAGATTCCTGTAGAAGCAGCTCATCCTCTATGTCAAGAGAAGTGTTTATTTTCTGATCCTGGTGGGATGAGATGCATGTCAAGCACCTGCACAAGTGAACCAGCAGTGTTTGGAAACACACAGGTTGCACTCACCTCTCTTGGTAAGACTCCCTGGTATATGCTAATAAGTAATATTTCCATCTAGTGTTTTGTGTTTTGTTTTTTTTATTAAAATATGGAACACTTCATGAATTTGCCTGTCATCTTTATGCAGGGGCCATGCTAATCTCTGTATTGTTCTAATTTGAATATATGTGCTGCTGAAGCGAGCACTAATGTTTACAAGCTCCTCCAAGGAAAGGCTTAGCTGTCATCTTAGGCAGAGGGAACTGTGTGGCTAATTACATATAAAGTGACAAAGTGCTAAACCCAGAGCCATGTGTGTGGGAAAAAAAGGAAAGGAGGTGGCTTGTGGCAGAGGAGCAACATTTGAATAGGTCAGACTTGGGGTTGGAGTGATGGATCATCAGTTAAGAGCACTCCATGCCCAGCTTCCATACTGAACAGTTCACAACTGCCTGTAACTCCAGATCTGGGAAATTTGATGCCCAATTTTGGCTTTTCTGATCACCCTTACACTCAACACACACACACACACACACACACACACACACACACACACACACAACTAAATCTTTAGAACATGTCAAAATTCCTCTCTTTACCTTGGGGCTTTGTTTTCTATCTGTGTCTCTTTTGTATTTTTTTCTTCTGAAAATACACACACACACACACACACACACACACACACCTAGCTCAAGGTCTATAATTCAGGTTAGCAACCATGTTCTGAAAGTCTGTTATGCATTTTAAAGAAAGAAAAGGCAGGGGTTGGGGATATATCTCAGTGGGTAGAGAGAGAGAGAGCTTGTCTATCACGCTCAAGGCCCTAGGTTCCACTCCTAGCATGAATCACATCATCATCGTGCACAGCTGTGGTTCTAGCACCTGGGTGGTAGATACAGAAGGGCCAGGAGTTCAAGTTCATCCTCGGCTGTGTGAGAGCAATTTCTTGTAACTAGTCACATTTTGGTTTTCCTATGTTTCCTAACTATCATGAAATGAGTAGCATTTTACCACCACAATCTTCTTCAGTGATGCTCCTGCATTGCCCTCAAGTCTAAAAAGCAGTGGATCCAGGTCACTATGGAAACCTCATAATTCCTAATGCCCACAGACCCCATCTTTCCTTATTCAAATCTTTTTTTCTCTCTCTTGGGTATTTGTCTCAGCCAGGCCATGAATGATCTCAATAGGTGAATAAATTTCTTGAATAATGTGTAGCATACAGCAGGCACTCAAAAATTGTATCAGTTACTTTTCAATTGTGATAAAACATCATAACCAAAAGCAACTTAGAAGTTTAGGCTTTTTCTAAGAGGTTTGTTTGGGCTTACAGTGTCAGAGGGACAGAGTCTATCATGGCTGGCAACAGGATCAGGAAGGTAGCTGATCGCATAATCACTGGAATACAGGAAGCAGAGATTGAGAACAGGAGGTAGGGCCAGGCTATAAAATCTCAAACCCTCCCCTGAAGTGGAAACTTCTAGTTCTTTAGAAAGTTAATTATGTCAAATCGTGTTTTTCTGGGGCACACAGGTGAAAGACTGTTTTGCTAAAGCAAACACGTGAAAGAATGTTTTCTTGAAGCAGGCCCAGGTGAAGGGATGTTTGGAAATAGCATCATGAAATAGCAAGCATCATGAAAGGATGCTTGGTAAAGGAGTATCAATATGACCCCATAAACAGTGGGAGGCAAGCACTGAGCATTGGCTTGGTTTGCTTTGAGCTCAACTTGTGATAACGCTGGCCATTGAGAGAAGCTCGCCCAAGAACTGTTTGTGAGGTTCCTGCAGCAGTTTGCCACTTCAGTGGCCTCACCTCAGGTCAATTGGCAAGCCTGGTGTTTTCTTCAGAATTGAACTAAGGCTGCCTGGTGTCTGCCTGCCTAAAGGACTGGTCTGCAGCTGCTGCATTGTATTTTGTGCTCACTACTGGTCTGAACTGCTGCCAAAGATCAAGCTCGCCCCCAAAGAACTATTGCTGAGGAGGTTCACTTCCCCCAAATCCTAATAACTTTTCTCTTCCACTACCTCTGCTGTGTGGTGGTCTAGAGAGGTTGAACCCTTCCAAAAAGTAGATTGCAAAGATGTTATGTCTATACTGCCCCAGTGATGTAGTTCCTCCAGAAAAGCAGCAGTACCAACCAGGGCCTGAGTGTTCAGATGTGAGATGTGGGAGCCTATGAGACAAATTGCTCCCTTTGCTCTCGATTCTTTTCTCTTTGGGTCCCCTCCACTAGATACAGTGAGGTGGCTGCTGGGGAGGGACAGTCATGTGACCCTGGTTGGCTGCTCATGCTCCATAGTTAATGTGTCACCCATGCACATATGGACAGTGCAAGAAGTTGAGAGACGGAGACCTGATGGTTCTGGTGTCTGTAAATGCTTAAAGATGGGCATCGGGATGCATTGTAATACAGGTACAAAACTTTCAAAGGATAGAATCCATTTAAAATGAGCTGAAATTAGGGGCTGGGAGGTGGCTCAGGCAGTGTAGTGTTTACTACATAAACATGAAGACCTCAGCTAAGAACCACCAGGAACCCAATCAAATGGCCAGGATGGTTAGCACATGCTTGCTTGTAGGAGGAGCTAAGGTGGGAGGAGTTAGGAGAGGAAGAGGAAAAAGGAAAAGGGGGAGCGAGGGAGGGCAGAGATGTAGGAGGATGGCGAACCACGCAGGTATGGAGAGCAGTGTGGGTAACTACTTTTATTTAAGTTAGCTAATTGGGAAACAACTCTCTTTGTATGGGCACATTGTTATTGGGCTTTATCAACCTTATAAAGCCTTTGATTAATCGTTAAGCATTAGAGTCCCATTCTCTTACTGGGCCCACATGGATGGCGGAATTGTCTGGGCAATGCCCAGCCTTTCGGAGACAGCGTGGAAGATTGGTAGAGCCATCTCCCATGCTGGTGTCTCGTGGATGGCAGGGCTGGTGTTTCTGGCTGGTCATTTCTAGCTGCTGCGAGCATATGGCCTCTGGCTACAGAACATGGTGGCTGAGCTAGGCAGAGCTGCTGCAGCTTAGATAGTTGGCTTGATGACCAGAGGCTGCATTTTAAATAATTACTACAGCACTTGCTATTCGAGAGCTGAGGATGGAGAGATGGGAGAATCCCTGGAACTCACTGACCAGTCATTCTAGCCTACTTGCTGACCTCCAAGCTGGTGAGAAACCTTGTCTAAACCTGAGGGATGACTTCCAAGGTTGACCTCTGACCTATATACACACATGTATGCATATATACTTGTGCATTCGCACACACTCACATTCTCTACCTCTCCCTCTCCCTCTCCTTCTCTCTCGTATCCCTCCCTCTCTGTCTCTGTCTCTGTATCTCTCTCAAAAACCAAAACAAAACAAAAAGAAACCCCACCTGATGGACCTAGATAGGACTCAAATTCAGTTCCTAGCTCCCATGTCAGACTGTCCTCACAACAACCTGTAACTCTAGCTCTAAGTGATCCAGTGAGCTCTTCTGGCCTCCATGGGCAACGTACTCACATGTATATACACACAGATGTACACATGCAAATAAGTAAACATAACAAATAAGACAATATGAGACAATCATATCATCTTAATATTAGTTATTTCATTGCCTTGTCATAAATCCAGAGCTGGTTACATGCCCAAATGTCCAACCATCAGGATTGAGGGGTGGGGGTGGGGCACACAAATGAAGAACCTAGCCATTTCATTTTCTCTTAGATCAATCCCCATGCTTACCATCATCGTGATGTGATGGCCTTTGTTTAGCTTGAGGAGTCTGAGTCAACTGTTCATGTAAATCAGAGATGCTCAACGGAGACAAATATGTGAATATAACCTTTATTCTTAGATGCATTAATTGCTCGCCTGACTCACTAAATTCTAATTAAAACCATTCTGCCAGATGATTTTATTTTATCCCTTTCAACTTGTAATTAAAGCATTTACTGGCTGACTATTCCAAAGAAATGAAGGGATTCAGCCTAGTGTTTGTTGAAGATAATGGGATGGAGAGCCCTGAGGAAGCGACTTGGGTATTTGTGGTTTAACTAATTCAACTCCTTGTTGAGTGGAGGTGATTTCAGTGGATTAGTTGATTCTGCTTTGAAACTCCCAAGTCAGACTTTGGGTTACTTCAAGCACTCTATTCTAGCCCAGCCTGATAGCACACATTTATAATCCATCCACTAAAAGTTACTGGAGAATCTGAGGCAGAATGATGGCGAATTCAAAGCCAGTCTGAGCAACTTATTGAGACCCTGTCACAAAATGAAATGTAAAAAGAGTGATTACGGATGTAGTTCATTGGCAGACTGCTTGCTTTAGAGGGGTTGGGGTATGACACAGAAGAAGAGCATCTGCCCAGAATCTTCCAGTGAGTAGCTAGCAGCTTGGCTCAGAAGTAGAGCACCATCCTAGAATGCCCCAGTGAGGACAAGGGATGTGGCCCAGTGGCTACCATCCTAGAATCCCCCAGTGAGGGGTTGGAGGCATGGCTAGAGCACTTGCCTAGAATCCCCCAGTGAGGGGCTGGGGGCGTGGTTCAGTGGTAGAGCCCCTGCCTAAAATCCCCCAGTGAGGGGCTGGGGGCATGGCTCAGTGGTAGAGCCCCTGCCTAAAATCCCCCAGTGAGGGGCTGGGGGCGTGGCTCAGTGGTAGAGCCCCTGCCTAAAATCCCCCAGTGAGGGGCTGGGGGCGTGGCTCAGTGGTAGAGCACCTGTAGAGAATCCCCCAGAAAGGGGTTGGAGATGTGGCTAGAGCACTTGCCTACTATGAAGGAAGACCATCTTCACCAAGTCTCCCCATCCTTCCTCTCTCCTTTCCTCTACCCACTCCTCTCTCTGAAGTCTCACTGTGTAGTCCTGCCTAGCCCTAATCCTTTGATCATCTTCCCTCAGTCTCATGAGTGCTGATAGTTTAGATGTATTGTATAAACACCAGATTTCCAGGAGTTCTGTGATAGTCTTAGTATTCTGGGGAAAATAAACCTTGGAGTAGTTACCCCCACCATCAGGAAGCTAAGCTTTACTGAAATTATGAGGGATTTTTGCAGGGACATTCCACTGATAGTGTTTAAATGTCCACCTAAACCAAATCTAGGCCGATGGCTGTGTACACTGCAGATGAGATCAACCTTTGGGAAATGGAAGAAACGGAAAAGAAGTAGAGATAGCACCATTCACCGCCATACTCCTGTGGGCTTATTCCCTTAATC